GGATGCGAGATACGTTAGAACCCAGACTCGCACATTTACCTGTCTCGAAAACTTGACTTTTTGACTTTAAATCCTGGCAAAGTTTACCAACCAAATTTGTTTCTTCGACCGATGTTTGGAAAGCGGCACTTTAAATTTCGCATCGCTGATCTTACCGACGAACGTTCAACCACGTCTAACAATACCGAACTAAAACTATATATATATATATATATATATATATATATATATATATATATATATATATAATTATAATAACATATATGTAAAAAAACAATATTAAATGCTATATAATAATATAATATTATATAGATAATAATACAACAAAATATAATTAAAATAATATGATATAATAATATAACAAACTTATAATAACATTGCTTAAAGAAAACAAATGGTTGCAACTTTTCAATCGATCCCTTTTACCGATCTTAACAATATTTTATCGTTTCGAGATTCTAAAATGGTACGAGGGGATAGTGGACAGGACAAAAAAAATTGATCTCTTCCAGATAAAATAACATATAACTTTCAGATAAAAATCATATAACTCCGTTTATGGAGTGGTTTTAAAGGAGAACAAATTTTAGACGGAAATCAATCTTAAGACCCAGAAAATCTCTTTTCCTTTTAAAGAACGACATTAGGATGTATACAATAATATCATATATATATTAGTGCCAGATTATTAGCCAGGCGAAAAATGGCCGGCCGAAAAATTCAGAGAAATCGTTTCCGACAGGTGACACGACGGATACGTATAACGCACAAGCGCACGCGCATTACGCTTTTCTCTAATTCCACATTAATCGTCTCTACCCCCTAAATCTCTCTCAACGTGGCGGCATAAACACAAAAGGTTTTTGCCCTTTTGCCCTGCCTAAGCAAACATAGAAACGCGCGTCGACTATCCCATCTTTCTTACTCATTCACTCTGAAAGCTTAACAAGAAAGCAAGAGTCAATTCCAAAACGATTCGATGAGTCTCATTCTCTCTCTCTCTTTCTCTCTCTCTCTGTCTCATTCTCTCTTTTTCTCTCTTTCTCCTATGTGTTACCTACTCGTGCGCGCAACAGTTCATCTTTCTCCCACCGTGAAAAGTCCCGAAAAGGAAAGGAACCAGTAATAGAGAATGAGATGAGACGAGAGGGGAGTTACTCGACCATGAAACGTCAAACTAAACGGCGCTGGGAGTTTCAAATACGGCTATTCCCCTTCTTCTTTCAGCTAATACACAGATATGAGACGTATCTACAGCCAACCCCTCTGGAAGGCACCCTCTTCATGACACTACTCACACATGTCGTTTTATATCCTCATATACCTATACACAATACATAAATACATACACACGTACACACACACATACACACACACACACACATATATGTACGATGCAAAAAGGGCATAATGGAGGCCTGGTAGTCAGATAGGTGTACATAATGAGACTAACAGGGGGAAGTGATTCGAGTGTGGAGAGGTAAGACGAGAAGTAGGCAGGATACTAGTGGTGGTGGTAGTGATAGTGGTAGTAGTGGTGGTGGTGGTGTCGCGTAATTCGAGGAAGGGAGGATACTACCGATAATGGTGGTAGTAGTAGTGGTAGTGGTGGTGGTGGTAGTGGTGATGATGATGGTAGTGGTGGTAGTTGTGCTTTTAGGGGAGGTGGTTGGAGGCTCCCCTCATCCACAAACGCATCTGCCCCATTATGCTGCCCTGGGGCACTCCCGAGACCATTAATCCTCGCTAAACGACAGCCATTTTGTACCTAAACTGGATTGCCGACTCACTAACTGGTTTTGAGGACGCTTAATAGACTACTCTCTTGCTCTCTCTCTCTTTCTTTCTCTCTTCTATTATAACCATCGAGCATCCTCGCTATATTTCGGTGTCGTTTATTCGCCCGCTAATGTGCAAACGGGAGAAGGGCGAAATTCTCTCTCTCTCTCTCTCTCTCTCTCTTTCACACACTGTTCTTCTTATATAATGTTTGTACCTCCTCTCAAAAGAAATAGAAAGAGAGAGAGAGAGAAAGAGAGAGAGACAAAAACCATCTCGCGCGTGCTTCGTCGTACAGTAGTCGCTTTCTTCTTCACAGGAACGAATGTAGAATTAAGTGAAAGAAACTGTTCACCTTTTGTGATAGCTACGATGAAAGAGAAAGAAAAAGAGAGAGAGAGAAAGAGAGAGAGAGAGAGAGATAGTGCGTGTATGTATGTGTTTGTGTGTGTATGTATGAGTGTTAGCTTTCAACGAATCGTTTTCTACAAGGGACTTGCTCAGCTTTTCGAATCAAACGTCATTGTCCTTCTTTCTAATTCGTTCTTATTCTTCCTCTTTCTTCTGTTATCTTTTCTTTCCTTTTTTTCTTATTCTTTTTTCCTTCCCTCTCTCACTCTGTCTCTGTTTCTCTCTTTTTCTTTTGGTAAAATATTTATAATGGAAATAGAGAAGGAAAAAAATATCCAAGAAAAAAGAATAAGATCTGGGAATGATATTATAAAAAAAAAAAAATTATAAAAATCTTCTTGGACTATGAAAAAAAAAAAAGAAAAAAAGAGAAAAACAGCGTACAACGGCATAGATTAAAAATATTTCTTTGGAAATATCGTTGACGTTTCGACGACGCCCCCGAGACCCCCTACTGCAATTGTCAAACTCTTGGTCACTCCTTCTAACAAGATTTTAGATAATCGGATTGATTCCAGAGAGAAAGAGAGAAAGAATAAGAGAAAGAAAAAGATCTCTCCGTAACGATTCTCTCTGCCTCTGATGCTGTTGCGTCCCGTGGGAGTTGTAAACCGTGGCCCACTCTGTGTTGCTGACATTAAGGGATTGTCAGTAGCTAACTTGCCTATCGGATTAGTTTAATCCTAAGATATTGTTTGGCTATATATCTCGCGATGTTCGCATAGTATTTAGATAGTTATGGGCATCTATCCCTATACCTATACCTCTATACCTACCTACATTAGGTGCGTTGGCGTTTGGAGTGAAGTTGAACTAACCATTTATAATTAACGCGAATGGCGGAAACATAAATCGTTTCGCGTTATACACAGACTCTGTAGGTAGATAGGTAAGTAGGTAGGTAAATAGATAGATAGGTAGGTAGGTAGATAGGTAAGTAGGTAGATAAGTACTCTTAATGAATTTATAACGTCTTCGCGAGCGTTAAACTCGTCGTAAGTTAGTGTCGCGAGGTCAAGAAAAGAAAAAAGAAGAAAGAAGAAAAACAGAAAAAGAAAAAAGAAGAAAAATAGAAAAAGAAAAAGGAAGAAAAAAAAAGAGGAAGAAGAGAGTTCGCAATGCGATTGGATTAGATGAACGCGATCATCCTCCCGATGGATATTCTTAAAAAGTATTCAACGTGATTCCCCTCAATCGTGATCGCTAATGATTGAATTTATCTCGAGCCGCGATATGATTACCGATTCACTCATCGTGACACGGGTTGAGGTATACCATGTTGAAGGGGCCCTCCGCACTCTCCTCTCCCCTTCCCTACCCTTTCCTCCTCACCCCGTTGTCGTGCCACCCCCATCTTATTCATCGTATAAATCCAATCGATATATATTACGATCGGTAATTTTTCATTATACCGTCGCTCACCTTTTATAATCCCTAATAGTGCCCAACCGATCTCGACCTTTAAGTTTGAGAAAGAGAAAAGATTACGGTCGATCATTAATCTCGTAGTAACCTCCTTGTCAATAGCTAATTTGGCTTTATCGTTAATCAACCGCCTTAGTCATCGTCTGTCCCCGTATTTAAAAGCCACAAGATACTTCGCGTTATATACATATATATATATATATATATATATATATATATATATATATATAGGTATGTGGTAGGTATTCACCAAAGTTTATATTATACGATACAGGTTCGCATTGTAGTTCCTATCAATATCAGCTAACGAATCGATCGGTAACGAATCTAGAAAATTAATTATCGTTCAATATTCAACGATAATAACCACTTGATTCCGTAAGATGTTAAGAGGATCGTATGATTCTTTGAAGAAATGCCAACGCCTGTTTTTAATAAGCGTAACAAAATGAGCTTTTCCGACTATCGAAAGTGGAAACGTCGAAGAAAGAAGAGAAAATGAAAAAAGAAGCTCAAGAGAGAAAAAGAGAGAGAAAGAGGAAGAGAGAGAGAAAAAAAAGAGAGACAGACAGACAGAAAGATAGAGAAAGAGAGAGAGAGAGAGAGAGAAGATGGGGGTTGAATACTAGAGGCAGAACGGAGAAAGGGCAGCGTGCACAATATATATCTACACATATACAAAGAGAGAGAGAGAGAGAGAGAGAGAGAGACAGACAGAAACACACGCACACACAGATACACACATATATATATACACCTTTCGGATTGCCAATCAATTCGCGCATCGCGCGCCCGGGAATTAGACAATTAGGAGTCGTCACGTTCCCCGAACGTTAGCTCATCCTCGAGCTGGCTCGATGTCGTCCTCGTTCCGCTCCACCCTCCAGAAGTCGGCTCCCCACTCCGAAAGATGGTGTGGAGCTTTCATCCCTTCCAATCGAATCGAGAATGCAATGCTACTCGAAATGTCAGCAGCGCCCCCAATGAGAATCAAGCAACGCCACCTGCCGATGAAAATTCGTCCTATGTTTCTCTCTTTCTCTCTCTTTCTCTCCTGTCTCTCTTTCTCTTTCTCTCTCTCTCTCTCTCTCTCTCTCTCTCCAATATAACCTTCGATTCGTCTGTTAAACCAGGATTGGTTGAGACCCAGAAGACGGCAACGCCTTCCATTGAAACGCCCGCCGTACGGCGATACACCTTCCGATTGGTCGAGAGCCCAAAACCCGTACCGGTTCGACTGGTTTCACGGGGGCGGCGCACAACCCAGTGCCACCAGAGCGCACAGCACGACGATCGTTCACTGACAAGGGAAAAGGAGAGAGAGAAACCGGCGTGACCGAAGAGGAGAAAGAGAAAGAGAGAGAGAGAGAGAGAGAAAGAGACAGTAAGAGAGAGAGAGAGAAAGAGAACTAGCTCAAGCTCGGGCTCTCCGTTGCGGCTTCAACCGTGCTGGTAATCAGTGCCGTTTCCGCGGCAGCAGCGGCTACCACGCGCCAGATTATTTTGGATTACGCATTGAAACCCGTGGGACCCGTCGACCTGCCTAGCCGGTCTACTCTCTCTCTCTCTCTCTTTCTCTCTCTCTCTCTCTCTTCCTTTTTCTTTCGCTTTTTCCTTTTGCTCTTTCTATCTCTCTTTCTGTCTCTCTTTTTGTCTTTTTCTCTCTCTTTCTGTCTCACTTTTTGTCTTTCTCTCTCTTTCTTTCTCTCTCTAACACACATACACGCACACTATTTGTGTTCTCTTTTTCTCTGTTCGTTTGACTGTTTGCCTGTTTATCTATCTGTGCGTTCCATCCTAAAAACTTCATCACCAAAGTCTGTCGACCTACGTGTTACTTCCCCCATCATTTTTGGATTCACCTTAGCGCCGCGTTTTTTTTTCGTGAGGAGATATATATGTATGTATATGTATATGTATATATATATACATATATATATATATATATATATATATATATATATATATATATTTCAGTGCTCAAAAGTCTTTCGACAGAAGAAGATCGAAGATCCGAAGGGACTGTGTGACAGTGCCGAAAATATTCCTAATAATGCGTCCAATCTGATATGCTCTGATGTTGGATTTTCTTTTTTTGTAATGCGGATGTCGGGGAAAGTTATATCTCAAATGATTCTGATTTATTTGGATAATGATAGGGCAATTTTTGGAGAGCGTTCCATTCCAAGGATTTAACAATAACGTTGGTGATAAAGAATTGGAGGATCGGTCAATGCAATAATCCGTATTGCTGATCACAGTAATGAGCAACTTGTGGTTTTTAATAAGGGACACAGTGCGTCAAAAGTTTCGGATGTTGTTATGTTTTTACTCGGCGATATCGATCTCGAAGATACAGTGAACTGACAAAATCGACGAGCTCTACACGAGGATAATTAAAAAGAGACGATGATGAAAACTTTAACGTTTAACGATAGTTTTTGGTTGGAAAAATATATATTGTTCGATTAGTGAGAATTAATTTGATCGATCGACGAACGGGACAAGGAATAAAATGAAGAAAACGAGATTGATATCTATCGATTTTAAATGTATCCTCGTTGGATCGTAATAAAAAGGAAATTTATAGAGAATACTCGGAAGTACTCGTATGAAGGTTCTCGTAAAAACAAAGAAGAGAGATTAATCGAAAGGGAGATTAACCCGTCGGCTAAGTCGGCCTCGGTTTAACGAACGTACGAACGTACGGACGTACGAAGAAAATTCTTCGAAGATCATTCGAAGGTTAGAAGGAATAAAATCATCGAGCTGGAGCGTTATGAGCAACGGCGAGGGTGTGGTGGCTGGGCAGGGTGCCGGGAGCGATCGTCTTTGCGAGGACGTCGACATGGCAACCCCAACGTCGGCGTCGTCGAATTTGAAACCAAGAAGCGGTAAGATCAGCTTCAGCGTGGACGCTTTGCTCAGCGGCACGAAGAAGTCTGCGGCAGCTGGTGTCGGTGGTGTTGGAGGAGGAGGAGGAGGAGGAGGAGGTGGGGGTGGAGGTGGCGGAGTCGGTGGCGGCGGAAATGGAAATTTTAATAATGCCAGACGAGACAATGAGGAACGAATAGACATTGAAAAGAATTTAGAGATGGAGGCTAGATATAGGGAGTTATTATTGGAACAACAAAGATTACAGAGCAGAGAACTCTTGGCGAGGCTAAGTCCTCACGGTTCGGTATTAGCAGCGTTTGGTAATCATCATCATCATCATCATCATCATCACCATCATCATCAAAATCGAATACAGGAGCAAGAACAACATCATCCGTCGGGCGGTAGACAGGAGATTCTAACGGTTAAGGATTTCTCGAGGTCTACCAGTCATGACAAATCATCCTCGCCAATCAGAATAGACCAGGAAGTACAAAGGGATCGTGGCGGTGACGATAGACGATTAACAACGGACTCGCCGATCAGTAGAATCTCCGAATCGACGTTACAAAGGGAACGAGAGAGAATTCAGGATGACGAAGATTCAAGAATCGAGAGAATGACCAATCCACGCTCCGTATCGCCGGTTAGTAGGCGAGAAATGTTAGACGATCGTAGCGATTCCGAGGCGAATCGTTCCCTCGAAGGTGACAGAACGACGGATCATCTTGATCTCGAGGATCAAGAGATACGAAGCGTCGGCCAATCGGAAGATCTCAACGTAATGGACTCAGATTGTGAACTGGAGAGAGATCTTGAGACCGGCCAAGAGAAGGAGGAGAAGTCGAGTCCGGTAGTGCCTCAGCCAATACACCCTGGGGTCCAAAGGCCCTCGCAGGGGGGGCCTTACCTAGCCGGTGCACCCGGCGCTCCTGGATGGAATCCTGCAGGATTTCCGCATTCACTTGCGAGCTTTGCCTGGTTACCCCCACCCCCTCATCCACATAATCCTCACGGACATCTTTACACACCCCACGGTGGACCAACAAGTCCTAACGGTGAGATCAATACATTTTTTATCTTTTTCCTTCTTCGATTTCATTGTTCTCTTTCTTATTTTTTAATTCAACTCCGCTATACTATTACGCTTAATTATATATATATATATATATATATATATATATATATATATATATTTCTCTTTGAGTTATTCCTGAAAAATGTTTGGAAAATAAAGAAACCCGATAGATATATCTCGTATTATCCTGATGCCACACAAATTACGGGGCATGAACGAACCACCAAGTTTAATCCACGATCGGGCAATCCGATGGACCTCACGCGAACCCAATAAATATAATACCAGGTTCCGTTTTCTTTTAATCATGTCACGGGGTTTCGAATTAGACGATGTCCGCGGTTTTACGAGGTGTAAAAAAGAAAAATCGGTTTACTATTTAATCGGTTAACTAGTTTAAAATTTTCCTTTCATCCACCTAAGAATTTTTATCTCACTTATTACCCAAGTAAAAAGAAAATCTTTTAATATTGTATATCCTATTAATAAAGTAATTATAAATATCGGCGAATAATATTATTCTTGCAATTTCTTTTTTCTCTTTTCTTTTTTTTTTCCTTTTTTTTCATACTCGCACAATCATCGAACTTAAGTACTTACGTACTTATTTAACTTAGTTACGTATATACGTTCTACTTATTTCGAGGAGAAGATCATTTCTAGATTAGATTATTTTTATCCTAGCTTTAAAATTTATTAATGGTTTTTATAAAAAAAAAAAAGGAAAAAAAATCCGATTATATAGGTAGATATTTATAAATGAATATATATATATATATATATATATATATATATATACAATATATAAAATATCTAATAACAAACATTAATATTAATACGTACAATAAAACGACATCAAAAATGGAATTTTATAGAGAGAAACAGAAAAAGAAAAAGAGAGAGAGAGAGAGAGAGAGACAGAGTGAGAGAGAGAGAGAGAGAGAGAGAGAGAGAGACAGAGTGAGAGAGAGAGAGAGAGACAGAGTGAGGGAGAGAGAGAGAAAGAAAGAAAGAAAGAGTCGATTCGTGCTGCAGATCGCGACAATGTCGATGATTAGGCGGAAAACGCGAGCTCCTAATGCGGCTCGCACGACATTCGCGGCACGATTCGCGGAGAGACCATAACGTTCGATATTAGCGAGCTGTGGTCACGCGAACTTCGTGCATTATCGGTTCTTACGTGTGCCAATGAATTCGCATGTAAGTACGAGAACTTGTTCGAAGGGAAATCATGATTGAAGTCTGGAACTCGGAAGAACACCAGGAGCCTGCCCGGATAACTTTTCTTTCATTCTTATTCTTTTTTCTTTTTTTTTTTGTTTTCTTTATTTTTTCTTAATAAAATTCTTACGACAAGATCAAGAATATTCGGACCAGTAATTCGCAGTAATTCACGTTGCTATGGATAAGTATATTAAATTATAAAAGAAAATAAAAAGAAGATGAAAAGATAAAGGAAAAAGAAATAATAAATAAAGAACTCGTAAATTGATTCGTGGTACAGGTGCTCGAGTAAGATCTATGTATCTATTAAGTACGAGCTTGAAAATTTCATTATCGATTTATAAAACGTGAATAATAATAATAATTATTATTATTATTATTATATTTTTTATTATTATTATTTTTATTATTATTATTATTATTATTATTATTATTATTTTTATTATTATTATTATTATTATTATTATTATTATTTCTTTTTTCTTTTTTTACTTCTCTTTTTCTCTTTCCTCATTCATTACTCGAATCATTAATCAATATTTTCGCATGATCGTTAGTCATTATTACCTCGGAACGATACTCATTATTAAATATCTCTTTGAAATACCTTAATCGGGATCGATTCGATTACTCGATATAGTGTGATTTTTACAGAGAATTTCAAAGAGTACTCGACAGCCAATAATATTTTCTTCTCTCTTTTCTTTCCTTCATTCTATGTCTAATCACGTTCTAAGATCCGATAACGATAAACAAATCATTTACATATTATCATCATTAGGAATAGAGTATTTTCACGTCGAAATCGTTCTCAGAAAGGTAAACGAAATGTTAGGGAAAAAGAAAAAGAGAGGAAGAAAAGAAAAAAGAAGTCGTTTGAAATATAGATATACTCAAGCCTTTCCCTTCGAATCGCAGAGCGAACTCGTCACGAAGTTTCACTGACTTTCTTCAATTCCATCCACGACGCTCTTTGCCTATCGAGCATAGTGTGGTGTTCCGTCGTCTAACTTCGAAAGCACGTCGAGAATAGAGAATCTAGGCTATCGGAACGCGAGTAGCCTTCCACGTCTGTTCTAACGATTTCTGGAAAAGTCAAGTTTTCTTCCTACCTGAGAGCTACCTAATTTCTCTATTTTCGAATCTAACGAATGTCACTACTCTCAAATAAGTCGGTAAATGCACTGACTATTAAACTTATCTGATTAAAGAAAAAAAAGATATATATATATATATATATATATATATATATATATATATATAAGGAGGGAATGGTTACGACATACCTAAGTTAAATTTGATTTTTTAGTAAGAAGAGAGACCGATATATATTTTTTTCCTTTTTTTCTTCTTCTTCCTTTTCCTCATCTGCATATAACTGTTAATCGTAAAATAGATTATATAATGAAATCGGTTGAATTCTCATCGTGTCGTATTGGGTAAGTAATTAATATACATAACTTATTGTTACCATTGTCGAATAATGTCTCACGTAACTCGATAATCTAAATAACTGTATATATGTACATATACCTATGTCATAGTCCAAGGTTTTATATCAATTTATCAAAATATTTAAATAAGAGCTTATAATAATTCAAAATATAATTTTGTTAAACGTGGAATTAAGATAAAGAAACATGGCCAGGTAGGTGGGGTGGTAAATCTGTCGAGCGTATGAAATAATCGTTCGTTCAATTAAAGGAACTGGTTGAGTTCTGGCGTGGGTTCTCTCACTCTCATTCTCTCTCTTTCTCTCTTATTCTCTTTCTTTCTTTCTTTCTCTCGCGAATCGTTTCATGCACGAGCAAACCTTACTGGAGCCAGGCATCGATCCGGACTCGAGCCCACAACGACGAACAAAGCTCCACCTTATGGCTCCGACTCTATCATCCATACCTGTTAACTTTAATTGACAGTTTACTTTAATGACAGTCACCTTATAGACGCTTACTCTGGAAAACATTGCCGGCTTGGGGTGACCATTATACTAGCGCTTAACAGTAGGTATATCTCGGCACATAAACACGAACAAAAGTGGATGTCCGGATATCTCTCTCTCTCTCTCTTTCTCTCTTGGTCTCTCTTGCTCTCTCTTGCTTTCTCTCTCTCTCTCTCTCTCTCTCTCTCTCTCTCTCTTTTATATATATATATACAATTAGAAATGAGAAACTTAACTTTAGGATCGTTGCATTATATATATGTAGAGGTTGGTAAATAGTTATATATTATATATAATAGCTAACTTGAACATTATTATCCCCAAATACCAAGGACCGTGGGCAATAAATAACACCGTTAGAACACGAGTACTGTTCGTGAGTTGGCTTTTCTCGTTTCGGCATCGACTCCTTTGCTTCTCCTTCTCCTCTCGCTGGACCAGACTACTAGGTACCTACTTACGGACTTTAGTAATATAAATAGACGGTCGCGATTCGTGGGATAGGAACGAATGTATTCGAGCAATCGCAGGAAAAACGTATGTCGCGATGATTTGTTAGGATCGTGTATTTTCTTTCAAAAGAAAAAGAAAAAAAAAACGAAAAAAAGATAAAGAACAAAAAAATACGAAAGCTAAAAATTCAACGAGCTTATAAAAAATATTGAGTATGATGTAATTAAGAAGAAAACGAAAAAGGAGAAAAAAGATGTTTCTTAAAAAAAAAAAAAAAGAGAAAAAGAAATAAAAAGAAAGAAAAAAAAAAGAGAAAAAGAAAGAAAAAGATATTAGAAATGTAATAAAAAAATTGTTGCAATTGTTGCGAAAAATTCCAGCATTTTGGTCAATCATAACGAGTACTCCAACGAACATATATTATTACATTATTACGTACTACGTATTATTTACAAAAATATTTGTTTACTTTTTGCTTCTAACACACTGTATCTTTCAAGATCTTTAATTCCTTCGACTTAGCGTCAGTAATAATCAGCGGCATAACAAAGTGATACAACAACAAATAACAGAAACGACCGTGGTTATATCTCTGAAATACCTATTTCTTTTCACTAACTCGAGTGAAATTGTAGTTCACGCGTAATGAGAAACTCGCGGCGCTTCCGAGAAAGAACTAAGACCATTACGGAACTCTATGTCTGTCTGTCTGTCTGTCTGTCTATCTCTCTCTCTCTCTCTCTCTCTCTTTCTCTCTCTTCCTTTTCTCGACATGAGTAGGTATATAAAAGTTCGTCATTGTTGAAGCTTCTACCATTGGCTCTCGGTACGGGTGGCAAAGGTACACACGAGTTCTTGGTCGAGTGTATATTTTCTTGACGTCTTGAGAAAACGAATGAGAAAAAGTAAGAAAAAGATAAAAAGAAAGAGAGAGGTAGAAAGAGGGAGAGAACGAGAGAGAGAGAGAGAGAGAGAGAACGAAAGAGAGAGAGAGAGAGAAAGGAGATATTACTCCTTCGGTGGAGGAGGAGTCGTACACCGTCGAGCATGATAGAGTCATACATAACCGAGAGCATCCATAATGCATTCAAGGAGGCCAGGGTAAAAACTGCCCTTGTTTGGTTCGCCTTGGCACACCCAGCTTCCTTCCTTCGCGACGTCATTCTTTTTGTCGATGATAACGACAAACCACTTGCCCTCTACTTCTCTCTCTCTCTCTCTCTCTCTCTCTCTTACTCATTCACTCACTCACTCACTCACTCACTCACTCACTCACTCATTCTAGTTATCTATGTTTTTCATCTGAGATGCTCCAAGCCTGTTCGCGTGTCCTCTCTCTCTCTCTCTCACTCTTTCTCTTTCTCTCTCTCTTTCTTTCTGTCTTTCTCTACTTCTCCTTCTTTCTCCACAACCCCCTTTTTCTTTTCACCATCAGAGCGCGAGACCAATTACCCGTGCTATCCGAAGCAAAGTGTACGGGGTTGCGAGTCTCCCGCGCACCTCCTCCTCTCTTCAACTCGTCCGAACTCCGTCGCCGCCATCTTTATACACTCCAGCCCGTTACCTCTCCTGGATGCCAACCCACGATCGATATTTTGTACCGCGGATTTTCTTCCGACTAATCGTTACCCGTTCTCTTTCTTTTTCTTTCTCTCTTTTTCTCTCTCTCTCTCTCTCTCTCCCTCTTCCTCTTTCTGTCTCTCTCTTTCTCTCTCTTGCTCTCTATTTTGTTATTTTTCATTACTTCTCATGAACGAGTTTCTTCGATCGTTCCATATCTTTTTAAAACGACGTAGAAGAACTTTTCTCTTTATCTCCCTCCTTTCCTCTCTCTCTCTCTCTTTCTCTCTCTCTCTGATTCTGTTTCTCTATCTGCTCTAGCGTTAAAAGTCGTCCTTATAGAATTTTTCTATCAGCGCGTGCGTCTCTCGGAATTCTCGCATCGTGTCTTCCCGTGTTCACCGACAAACCGTCCAACGACTACGTCGTTCAGTTTTAATAACGATCGCAATGCTCCAAGCTTCCACTTTTTCCAAACGCGTTGAATCATTTTCGAACGAGAGTCAACATAAGTCTTTTTCTTCTTCTTCTTCTTCATCGTTTATGAGTATTTCTTAAAAAAATTATTTCTCCAAAGAATGTTTAAATGACATTTATGTGTTATATTTACGATTAATGTTTGTCAAACAAAACATTAACATGAAAAACAAAATGGAGAAAAACAAGAAAAAAGGAAAAAGAAAAGAAAAGGGAAATACCTAGAATAATTAGGACAAATATTCATAATTTTCATAGAATGAATATGAAAAAAAAGAAATGAAAAAGGGAGAAGAAAATAAAGAAAGAAAGAAAGAAAAAATTAAGAAAAGAAAATGTCCGGGGGACCAATTTGTAAAAAACATTAGACATTAAAAATATTGAATATTTTAAATGTTTAAAAGAGATTAAATAAAATTGCATTTACTCTTCCTTTCTCTCTCTTTCTCTCTCTCTCTTTTTTCTCAAAAAATGATTCAATTTTAGGACGGCGATTAAAATGAATATATTGAAACGGCCTGTGTGTATGAGAGAGAGAGAGAGAGAGAGAGAGAGAGAGAAGAGAAAGAGAGAGAAAAAATAAGAAAGATATAAAGATGCTAAAAGAAGTGAAAATATCGATTCCGATGAATCAAATGGAAAAACGATTACAACGCGACAATCACGCGAGAAACGCTCGATCAAATAATTCTCTCTGTTGGCTTACCGACTTGAACCGGTTCTTTATCGTGTGATACGAATTTTCAGTTATTTCGCAGATAGTGAAGAGACGACACACGAAATTCCGGAAATATTACATACCTACCTACCACACATTCATTTTAATGACTTCATCGAGAAGTTGATTCTTGTAATAGTGATCGAACTCTGATGCAAAGCCACCGATAAGAACGATGTAAAATTTTATGATACCTACTAGCATCAAGCATTTTACAACTTGTCTTTGAGTGTAACGCGATACGGCTTGACCATCGGCTGAATTGATTTCATTTTCTTTATGGAACTTTATCTTCCTTTAAATTATTGCCGTTTAACAACGACATTGAATACGTATAACTTATGTATACACACACATACATATACGCTCACGCACGCACGCACACACACACACACACACACACAAATACGTATATAAATATCACGTAGGTTAAACAGGTTACTTAGCATTTAAACTATCTATCGTTGATTCAAACCTTGCTGTGATAGTTTCGGATGAAACCTATGTTGTAAATTTTCCTCTCAAAAATATTTACAGTCCCTTGTCGTAACTTATATTTTTTTGTTTCTTCTTTTCTGAAAAACAAAGAAAAACGTGTCCAAGATCAGATCTTACTCGTACATCAAAACAAAAAACTTATAAAATATTATTTTTCACGTAATTTATTGTGAATAATATAATGACTTACATATGTTTACGATACTTACATGTATTACATGTTATTAATATGTTACATATGTATGAACCAATAGATACGTACGCCGAATGATTTTTCGATGATACCGCAAATTTCCATGAATTTTTTTCTCCCCTCGTGTAGCTATCCTTCATTTTGTCTCTTGTCCGGGAAAAAAGCGTACTAGAAAAAAATAAAAAAGAAACAAAAAAAAAAAAATAAAAAACAAAAAATATTCAAATCCGGAATGATTAACGAGTCCAATCATCTTCCCCGTATATGCATGCATTTATCTAAATACAAACTTGCTACACCTCGCAAACTAATTCTCTTTCTGGCAAAGGGTAGTAGATCGCGTGGAAAAAAGTGTAGATCACGTAAGAAGATACGCTTTTTAAACGTAATAAAATGTCCGGCACATACACACGCGCACACGCACACACATACGAGACTCCTTACAACGTTCGTACTTTTCCAGCCAACTAATTTGAATCGAGCACGAAACTTCTACCTGTCACTCGACGACGAGTACCGCCCATAGACTGACGAGATAAATGCTTGAAACAAGGTTGTTGACGTTCGCACGACAACGACAACCACTAACGTCCTTTGTTTTTATTTCTTTTACATTTATATGTATGTATTTATGTATTACATCAATGTCGTCGAAGGAAAAACAAATCTTTTCTTACTATTCTGTAGTAGTAATTTTCTTTCTTTTTTTTTTTATTTTTTTTATTTTTTGTTTATTTAAACAGTACCTTCATTTCAACGGATGTATATAATTATTATAATTAAGTTAAGGGTTAAATAATTACTAATCAAAAGATTTTCAATGGACATTTCAAACGTATTTTTTTCATTTATCTTTAATTTTTTATCGACGTCGTAAATATCGAAGGGGAAAAAAATTTCATGGCAAGTACTTGCAAGATTTTTTTTTTTTTAACGATCCATCTCCACGACAAGTGATTGAGCAGATATATGAGAAATTTCGTTTTTTTTTCTATTTTTAAAAAGTAAATAAAAAAAAAAGAACGAGTTTTAATCACTAAGGAAACATTCGATGGAAAGTTTACGACAAAAAAGAATTCATTTATTATAACGAGTATTACTTTGTTACGTATTACGATGAAATTCTAAATCGACGAAATTTTTTATCCAATCGATCGATTAATTTCATAATTTATCATTCGAATAATTCGAATTAAGTAATTGTACATTCGAAAAATTTCGACGTACGTTTCTTTTGAAATAAATATAAAGTGGGGACATAATTTTTAATAAATTGAAAAGGAAGAACAAAAAAAAAGGAAAAAAGCAATGCGGGACGAGCAAACAAAATTTTTTGATTCTTTTTTTTTTTTTTTTTTTTGAAATGTTCCGTCGAAGTTGCGAAAATCTCATTAAGCTTAAGTTTCGAACTAACCCCTCGAGGTTCGTACGAGAAAGAAACGTCTTTCTTTCGGTATCCGTAACGGTGGCTTTCGAGAATTATGAATACCGACGTCATTTATAACGCTCGAACGCCACCGTCGCATCACATCGTCCATGCACATTTATCTGACTCCGCGCGTCGAGGAACGAATTAACGAAGCCCGCCCCACGTCCCCAATGATGTTCTACAAAATATTTCGAACGATCCATCATTCATCGTGGACATAATTACCGGCGTTCGTTGCGTTCTTCGTAAAAGAAAAAGAAAACAGAAAGAGAAAGAGAAAACGAGAGAGAGAAAGAGAGAGAGAGAGAGAGAGAGAGAGAGAAAGAGAGAGAAATGAAAGAAATCAAAGCACACAAGTATTGCATTAGTGTGTATGTGTGTATGTATATTATGTAAGTAAATGAGTGTGTGTTAGTATATGTACGAGGATGTTTAGTTTGTTTCTATACATCACCGCGAAAAAGATGTTCGTTAATGCGTTAATTAGTCTCGCGACAGGCCACGTTAATGTTTCCTCTTTTTCAAAAACACATTTTCTACAATTTAACCTTCCAAATGTTCTCTTTGAAACGTGGGAAAAAGGGACATTAAAGATGTTCTTATACGAGCTAATCCAATTATCTACGTATCCATTAAAAGAGTGTACTTCAACAAAATAATAATTATTTGCTTGAAAATTATTATATAATATTGTAAAATCATTCTCTTTCTCTCTCTCTCTCTCTCTCTCTCTCTCATTTTCTCTTTGTTTCTTTTTTTTTATATCATATTAACAAAAATGACTTTAACAAAATAATATTTTATTTTAATTCTTCAAACTTATTATATAATATTTTATTTCATCTTTTTATCTGTCTCCCTTATCTCGAATAAATTAATTATCGGACATAAAATTAGATTAATCGAAATTGATGAAACGAAGAAATGAAAATAAGAACTAAGAAAATTGAGAACCTGAACAATTGTAACGGAAGAGAAAGAGTGCGAGAGGGAGAGAGTGCGAAAGAGAGATAGATAGAGAGAGAGAGAGAAAGAAAGAAATAATTACTTAATTAGTCTACCTTAAGATATACACGATAATGTAAAAAAGAAATAAAGACATATTCTACCATTCTTGTAATTTTTAACTATAAATAAAATTCAAAGACAAAAAACGAATATGCATATTCTTCGACGTTGTCTCATTAGTCTGATTCGTCGTTGAAGAAAGAAAGATTTTCTTGTTAATTCAAGATATTGATCAATCGATCGATTGTTATCTTCAATCTTGATATTTTCTCTTTTCCAAATTCAAATTTCAAATTCGTTTGATTTTTCTTTTTCTTTTTTCTTTTCTTTTCTTTTCTTTTCTCTTTATCAGAAAAATTTATTACTAAAGATAGGGAAATCATCCTTAAATACCACCACCGCCATTTTTAAAATAATGTACAAATTATTCAACGTTATATATATATAGAATTTTTTTCAATTTTTTTTCTTTCCTTCTTTAATGTATTAATATATCTATAATCGCATATACTTATAGAATTATTAACGACTATAATATTATAATATAGTTTATTAACATATATACATATGAATAAGAATTCAATATGATCGGATTATAATTCATAATAATCGAATAGATATATGTAATTTTAATTTAAATTCTCGTTCGCGCATGAATTTAACATAAGCAAAAATCCTTAAGGAAAGGTAAAGAAGTTTAAGAATTAAAAATAATCGTCAAGGATATAGAAAGAATTCTGTTCAAAAAAATTACTCTCTTAATTAAATTCACCGTTCGTTAAAAATATAACTAAAACATTGTCTTTCATTTAGTTCACACATAAAAATATATCGATTTAATGTCATTAAACATGCTATTATTCTACGCCACCAAATCGGAACTATTCAACTTAATGAATGTCACACAAGTAGATGTGATATAAATATGTGATATATTCCTTTATAAAAAAAAAACATAAATTTTAATCGACCGTTCGTCTCCAGTAGAATTTACTTATTCATTATCACTAATTAACATAATTCTAATAAGAATCGATTAAAAGGTATAACAGACGTAACATTTATCGAATAGATAATTATTACACGTGGAATTGAATATATATATATATATATACATATGATATATGTATATATATATAATATATATATAATATATATATATATATATATCCATATGTAGATGTAGAGAGCAAAAGAACATCTCATATATTTTATTAAATAGATCTCAGTATAGATAGCTACCTGTCAAATTTGAACATACAAAAAAATATTAAAAAAAGAAAAAAGTAATAATAAAGAAACGAACAAAACAAAATAGAAACATGTAAGCATCTACCCACTACATATATAATATTATTCGTTCCGTTCCGTTTCAAGTGAATATTAACGATCGAACGAAAGAACGATTATATAATATATAATATTATAAGCAATCTTTCGACACGTGTCAATCCAATACATAAACCTGAAGGATAATCCATTAAAAAAATAAATAAAAAATAAAGAAAGAGAAAGAAAAGAAAGAAAAAGTGAAAAAAGTGAAATAGAACCGTTCTCTCATCTCGATGTCCATTGGTGAGCCGGTTCAAGTCGAGAATCTTAAATACAGCGAGAGAGAGAGGGAGAGAGAGAGAGAGAGAGAGTGTGCGTGTGTGTGTATGAGAGCGAGAGTGCCTGTGTATGTATGTAAGAGTGAGAGAGATAGAAAGACAGGAATAGATATATACTGCTCATAAGACGTTCGAACGTTTAATTAGCAGAAATTAATTAGTGTCCGCGAGAAACATATTGATTTGATCGTTCTCTCTCTCTCTCTCTCTCTCTCTCTCTCTCTCTCGGCTCAGTAACGTTTCTGTTGCCGCCACCTCCACCGCGCGAATATGGCGAACTGGTTACGATACGCGAAATGGCCTCGTGATATCTCGCGCGAAAAGGAATAAAAAGAAAAAAAGAAGAAAGAAAGAATAAGAAAAAGAAACGAGAGAAAGAGAGTATGAGAGAGAGAAAGAGAGAGAGAGAGAAAGAGGATCTTTTAATGACACGTACCGTTCGTATTTCACGCTATCCTTTTTTGGAAATTGAGAACGTCGTCCTCTTCCAACGATCCTTCGAAAATCGTTTCTTAACGACCAAAGATATAAAATATTTCAATTCAGATATTTTTATTCGTTCGATGACATTGTATTATACCAAAATAAAATCGACATTAACGATCTCGAAAAATTGATAATCGTTATTTCCATTGGCGAATAACGAGTTCTATAAAGTCGTTTTCCTCTTCTAATTTTTTTTCTCTCTTTCTCTCTTTCTCTCTCTCTCTCTCTCTCTTTTCCTCCCACTATAAGTATATATGTTCTTTTTTAATTTTATCTTTCTTTCTTTTTCTTTCCTTTTCTTATTTTTTTCACCAATATGCCTCGACGATCGTCTTTCGTATATCGCATGTTATCACACAATCGACCGGCAAATCTTCGTTCATCGTCGTCGTCGTCGTCGTCGTCGCCGTCATTGTCGATAAGAGCAAAGATAAATTTTCTTCTAGAGGCCGTTCAACATTTAATTAGCAGAAATTAATTAGCGTCCCGTAGAAACATATTGATCGGTTATGTGCACGGAATAGCCGAGTCGTAAACGAGAGAGAGAGAGAGAGAGAGAGAGAGAGAGAGAGAGAGAGAGAGAGAGAGAAAGAGAAAGAGAAACAGAGACAAACTGACAGACAAAGACAGAGACAGTGAAATAGCAAGACAGTAAGAAAGAGAGAGAGAGAGAGAGAGAGAGAGAGAAGTAGTCATCGTCTCTGTTCGCCAGTCGTTGGTACACGAAATGGGGGAAGAGATGCTAGCACGAGAATGGAAGACGTAATACCCGATGTCGCGACAGGTCCCGCTCGACAATGCCGGCGCAGGCCTTTCCTTTTTTGTCGATCGT